TGGCTACTGTGTAAGCGCATACATGGTTAGTGGTTATGCTAGCAGTCTAGCACCTATTTTTTCAACTTTTGTTTTTGATGTAATGCGTGATTATTGCAAAATACGATTGTTACTCTGGACTAGGATGAAATTTGAATAAAATTTTAATTTTAAGTTATAAATAAATAACTAAAAATAAGATAATCAATGAATTATAAGTTAAAATCTCAAAAAAGTATATAATAGTATAGTATATAGTACTTGTTAGGTAATGGGACAGACTAAATTAACATTTTAAGATTATTTAAAGTTAGAACAATAAGTCGCTTCGTGAGCTTTCACTCTTTATAAAGAATCAAAATATATTAAAAGGTTAAAGAAGTTATGCATTGTTTGCCTTCACTATGAAGAAACTTCGATACAATATCGACTATCGATGTAACTGGATATAATCGTGAAGGTTTTCCGGTGAGCGACGGGCGACTTTACAAGCTGAGCAGGCGCATGCGGCGCGGGGCTGGAGAGGAGGGTCACGACGTGGTTAACCTAGGTTACACCACGCTCCAAAATGCTGACTTTCGCGCGTCATTTCGAATTCCCTTGTAATTCTAATTCGTTTGTCTCTCGTCTCGCCGGCATGCTGACACATAAACTTTGTTTCGATACACATTTACATTCGTTTCGATGAATGCCCCAACTGCCACCAAACGTTTTAAAATTTAACATCAATAAAAACACAATATAAACTTTGATTAGTTTGTTATATACCATTCCAATTACTTTAATGCTAATTCGATAATAATAACCGCTTTAAAGGTTACGTTTAATTTAACGCTGGGTGTTATGCTTTTCGCTCCGTCGCGCAAATTGGATAGGTATTTCAAAGACCTACTTAGGTATTCAGGCTTCGACAGTCTGCTGGCATTCTGATTATTGTGGTTGGCACTTGCCAACGGACCCTGACATTTTGATACAGGCAGCTGACAATGTTTGATGTTATTGGATTCATTTTGGCAACACAGCATGTTCATAAATATGTACTATATCTTTAATTTATTTGCAAATTTTTTATTTTAGAAGGGAACATTTTTTGTACATTAAACTTTAAACATACGTTGCGTAAACTTGTTGAAGTTTATATTTTTTTTTGATATCAGTGATGTAGACTGCACATTGCACATTGTACGTGTCTATTGGCTGATTTCACCAACGTCGCCTAAGTTTAAGGGATCTCCTAAGCATGGTTAGAGGGCTGTTTTAGGGGTCAGTTTCTGTTTCACCGACAGTTAGGGGGTCACCTAAATGTTAAAATGCCACCTAAATATAGGTACTAGAAATACAGGCTCTAACGATGGTAAACCGAAATTTAATTTAGGGGCTAGTTTAGGGGAACATTTAAGCTAGGGATCCCATACGTAGGTGGTAGCTTATGGGTTGTTGGTGAAATCGGGCATATACCTATTTCTTCATGTAGAGCACAAGAACAGAATTTTAAATTGATTCCTTATGTCATATTACTTCGAAAGACACTGAAACTGTTTTTAGTATCTTATTGTTTCACTATTAAATATATTAGGATTTCATTTAAGATAACACACTTGTTTTTGCTTTTTTATACAAAAAATTAGTGAGCAATCCCAAGTTAATATAAGGGGCATTTCACGTGAAGCGGACAACGATAATAAAGTGAGGTTGTGAAAATTGTTCATACTCTGGTGCTTCTTTGTTAAAATCTTGTTTATAATAAAACAGATTGTCCCTTTCTAGCAAGTATCGACTATAGATATTGTATTTCTTAGTAATTCTTTTTGCGTTCACATCTTATCGTTTCGGATATGACTCCTTTTTATGAACTTGTTATTTTATAACAAATATTAGTATTGTTAATCATTTTTATTTGAAAAGAAATTAATTTCGTATATTTTTATATTTATGCATGTTAAAATGAAAGAATAAAATGGTAACAGCATAGTATTGAACATAGTATTAACATGACTGCTACAAAAATTCTCCTAGCGATGTATATGTACTGAATATGCTCTAAGTCCTAAACATTGTATTTGCACATCCATGTCCACTAGAACTATAACTGACCAGAGTATGAACAATTTTCACAACCTCACTTTATTTTCGTTGTCCGCTGCACGTGAAATGCCCCATATAAATTTAAATTTTTGCATGCAGAGAAAGCGAGTATAAACACTTATATAAATAGGACGAATTTTGTTATTACTCACTAAGCGTCATATACTAAGTACGTATATATGGTGGCAGGTACATTATGATTGGATAACAAAGTTTTATGAAGTCGTAATAACTTAACACCAGCATTAAATTTATGATGTAGTTCTAATAGCTTCTAGTACTGAATGGCACTTGTTTTAATGTGTTAGCATGTTTGATAAGATTAGTGAAACAGAATAGGACCAACTAAGTAACTACATATATATGTACATCTAATTATATTTCAAACTTTCCAGTTTCCGAATATTAATTAATGAAATTGCTTTTAAAATGATACGTACATTTGTCAAAAGCTTTAAATTATTATTAAGTAATGAAAATTGCCAATTAGGCTAATAATCTAACCAAATTTTAGTCTGATTTACACAAAATTGACAGGCAAATAGCAAGTGCCTAATCGAAAACAAGTCAAGTTAATGAGTATGCTAGTAAGCAATGAGTTAATTTATTGCATTCTCTTGTTTATAAACACGTGTTCTTGACATTTAGATACAAAATTAATCATAAAGTTCCTACTAATATAATAATCAATTTCGATTTTGTCCACCAGATATAAAAATTTTTCGAAGTGCATTCAACTGATGTTAATAACATTTTTAATAATGTTACCCTTGTTGCAGAGTTGTGAAACCATCCAAGGGTTCCATAGAGAATTGTAAGATGTCAAGCATCTTAAAGTAGACCCACAAAAACAGTTATTATGTTATGGTCACTGAACACGTTTTACACTAGCTGTATTAAGCAGTGTAGAGTAATTTCAATTTTTAATAGTTACGCCCAAAATATAATTACTGCCTACAAAATTGTTTAGCTCTTTTGCATAGAGAAATTTATTTTTTAACTATTAGCATTGCCCGCGGCTCCGCCCGCGTTCAGATGACAAAAAACCAAATTCTTAGATTTTACACATTAGTATACTCTTACAATGCAGTTTTTGTATTTTTTCTTAGAAATGAGATATATTCCCGCGATAAAAAGTACCCAATATGTTGACCCGGATAAACAGCTACCATCATATCGAATTTTATCAAAATCCCTCTAGTGGTTTTTCCGTGATGCGGTAACATACAGACAGACAGACAGAGATTCAAACACAAAAATTCTAAAAACTATACATTCGGCCTCTGTATGATAATAATGTTTTTAAAAAAATATTTAATGTACAGATTTGGCTTAGTTACAATTTTATTATATGTATAGATTTTTGATGACACGTTTGGCTCAGTTTATAGTAACCCTACTTGCTGTGCCAGTGGTCATGGATTCGAGTCCCGCTGGGGTATTCATTTGTGTGGTGTTTACATTTATAATATGTATGTGTAGTGTGTCATCTATCTAGTATCCATAATAATACAAGCCTCGTAGCTTACCATGGAACTAGATGGTGCTGTGTGGTAATGTCGCAACATATTTATTTATTTTAATATAAGACTGATATCCGTATAACAAAGAAGAAGTCTGTCTGCTCACAAGTTCCGTTCAAGCGCCTTGGATGGGGTTGTGTATTTCAAAAGGAAAAATACTGTCCATAAAACTTCCTAATCTTTTTCCCAAACTGCTAAGTCTAGAACTACGAATATAAAATATAGAACAAAGACTGCTTCTTTTAATTTCACACTACATACTAGAATTTACTTTGACTTACTGACACAGATGTTTATGCTGGAGGTTGAAACTGAAAATGCGGCGTTGGTTTGTAAGTCAATATTGTTATGATTCCTGACAATAAGCCATGTTTTTTTAACATAATACTGTAAACAGGTATATAAAGATATTATCTTCTTGACTTTATCCCGCCTACATGGGGTTGACACAGTATGCACGTTACCCCGCATTCATCTCAATCATTCGTCGTATTTAATTTTATCCCCCATTTACCCATATCCTTTTTACGATTACTCCATACTTTCTTGGGTCGTCCTCATATATTATATTCCTGCTATATTCCCTATCGCGTAAGCTAGTAAGTATATAAATTTGGTTATAAGTTAAAGATTTGTTTCATGTCATTTTGTAGTGACCATCGCGTAGGTTTCAGATTGGTATGGAGGTCGTAAAACTGCACTAAATTGTGAGTCATTTATGAGACATGTAGTGTCAAGGATTTTAGAAATACACACATATGCATATATTGCAATGTTAATATTTTTAGGTGAAGGTAAATGTAGGTGAGGATTAAAAATGTAATCTTCGCAATATCAGTATTAGTAATAATCATAAAATTTGAATTTATTACCTGCGCTCCTTAATGTCACTGGTTCACCTTTGAAGTTGGACTATGGGAGTCGTTTACACCTATTTTTAATTAATTGAAACAAAAACTTCATCGATTGATCGAAAAATCGATCAGAATTTTACAAAAAAATAAGATTAAATGTTAAATTATTACACATGACATAATTAAAATTGTATGGATCATTATATTCTATGAGTTATTTTTACATACACATAACCGCTTTTATAGTCGTCTGTTTTAGGTATATAAGTATGAAAGTATAATATCTTAATAACAGAATAGAATAAAAAGCATTACCCTTCTGTGGACGGTAAATTGTAAGCTTTGAATACAATTTTACTACTGGAGACTCTGTAGGTTTCTTGAAAGCACTCGAGGGAATGTTCTATGTGAAATATCTATATTCATCTTATACAAAATGAATCATTTTCATAAAATAATTTGAGTACGTAATAATTATAAAGAAGTTATATTACTAAAAGTATGATAACTTCTGAGAGACTTTCGTTTTTTTTGCTTAATCGTATCTTTATTTTTTCAGGAAATCGATTGAAAACGAGCCGAATAAACGAAAATCAATATATGAGAGAAGTTTCTGGGATGGTAAGTTGATTTTATTGTGTTATACGTTTGTCGAAGCACAAGTATGTTTATACTTAGAAAATATTAAATTATTAAAAATATATAAACTGGATACAAAAAAATCTACCTAAAAAACTAATTATGCGCCTTTTTCTTATTTATTTTTTAAATTTATATATAAAATATAGACATTTAATTAAAAACATTATGATACACATACGATACTAAAATAATGGAGGCGTTTTTAAGATAAATTCAATGGAAATGCAACTTGGTGTAAGTGTCTATTAAAACGAAACAAATGGTCATTGCAAAGTGTTGTTGGACTATGTAAATTTCTTAACGCAGTCCGTGTAAGAGAAATATATTTTGATCGCATTCCTGTATAGACGTTAGAATATGGACATTATATTATAGGAAACCTTACGTGTTCAAAGTCGTGAAAGTGCACCTTGCACGAACCAACGTTTTGTTCCACCTGTTCATTCCTTGCATATGGCGTAATATAGGTAGAGTCAAAATAATTGTTTAAGGAACTACTTTGTTCGATTACATAACAAATATTTACATTAATTCCTATTTTAGAGGTTTAATTCTTTCTTAAATTGCACAATTGAGTGGAACAAGAGTTAGTTAGATACTGGCATGTTATATGATGTCATAATAGCACTGCCTGGTCTGGAGATAATGCAAAAAATGTTCGAAAAACAATTGTTTTAGTAATCAAAATAGTCATAGAATTGAGTAAATCAAGTCACTGTGGTATAGATGTCGTTCTCCCGTGAGATAGAATTAAAGTTATATTTGTAAACATAATCTGTTTTTATTCAAACTTTTTATATAGAGCTCAGTGTTTATTTACAATGACCTAAAAATTATAATTTTTGTATAAATGGGTGATAAGGTAATTTTTATTAACAACTAGCGACTCACCCTCACTTCCCTCGGGTTCGGTACCGGTTCGGTATTCGGTTTAGGTACATTTAACGATTAGTATAGAATATATAGACTATATACTGTTATATACATAGGTATATTATATTTTCTAACTTAAACTTGACATATTGTTGTAGACGGTAGGTCCACCACTATTGAAAATGATTCGAAGTAGTGATTCCCAAACAAAATAATAAGTTCAGAACTTTTCGATTTTCCAGCTGTTCTTGTGGGGTTTTCCTATTTTTTTATATTTAAACCATCCATGATATACCTCCAACAAAACAAAAAAGAATTATTCAAATCGGTTAAGCCGTTTTTGAGTTTTAGCAAGATTAACGAACAGCAATTGATTCTTATATAGGTATATAGATGTATGTAGGTACATATCTTTTTACTTTGTTTAAATACATAGAATATAAGTATCTTTAAATATAAACATGCGAGCGTTAAATCTATGAACATAATTCATTACGTAAGTTAAAAAATGATAAACAAAAAGTCTCACATAAAGTTATGTGAACAGACGAAACGATCTTTAATTATAGCATTCTCATGAAGCGAGAATGAAAGCTTTGTTTTCTTAAACGAAAATTCCAATTATAAAATGTGCATAAATGAATTCTCCTGAGGAAAGTAAGGCGAGCTGGAATCCCGCTGCACGAGCATTAAGGTAACGACCGCGACCTGCCGTCAGCTCTCATTGTTCAGCAGCACTTAGCATGCCGCGACTACGATTTCATGCAGCCATTTTATGATTGAAAGTGATTGACAATTCTTTACACTCACCACATTTCTAGCACACTACCATTCCTCATCGAAAATTAAAAAAATGTTTCTTTAAACGAATACAGTATGTAATTGCTTCCATATAAAATTGAAATCTTGGAATTTCCTGTAAGAAATAACAAAAAGCTCGGCACTTCGTTGCTTTAGCAATGTCCATCTAAACCGTAGTACATAGAGTCGACTTTTAGCGAGCCACCGAGATAAAGGCTGTTGTAACGTTTTATATAATACGATTTGGCAGATTCCAGAGCAGGCTTGATTTCAGTTTGCTCGCATGCCATCACAGGAGCGTTTTATTTGATGTGAACACAAGCTACCTATAATTTAGCCTCATTTTGTATCAGCCATTCACAAAGAAAATAAAAAAGTGGTTCCTTACGTCATCACGTTATTTAGATTTTTATAAAGCTCGGACCTGTTTGTTTGCTCAAAATATATATTTTTCTTCTAAATAATCATTAATTGGTTGTTACGATACGTAACACTGTATTTTTACACGTTTAAAGTTGAAAGAGTATTCATATTGTGTAGATCTTACCTGGTGACCTTTAGATCACAATGTAAGATATAAGTGTTTCTGTTTTGACCGTGTTATTTTGTGTCGATTATATAAGACATGTCATTAGAGAAAGTTAAATTAGTTTTGAAAGTGAAATCGATTGCACTTTCTTTCACTTGTCCATTTCGTAGTTCAGTTCAGGAGTTGATTTATTGTATAATAGAACATAAATGAATCCTATAATTATCATTTTCATGTTCTAACTGAAGATACGCTTCGTCTGTGTAACATTATTTTGTTTTTCTTTTTGGTGATATATATAATTAAATTATATCAATATTATAGAATAATTCCTAATTCATGTGGACGTGACGTGAATTTATCGTGATTCGTCCAATCTGATGGTAATTCCTCATTAACTAAATAAATACAATTAAATTTGCCACATAGTGAGTATTTATTATAAAATATTATGGGCCTTTGTATCTATATTCCCGATGTTATACTAATTAATAAAAGAAGGGAATGTAAAAAAATGTGCAAACCACTTCACAAACACGTCGGAGCAGTTTAAAGGCCGCGTCCGGATTGCGAGGGGCGACGGCGGAGGGCACCGGCAGCATTCCAGCCTTTGCGGCCGCGGCGACGTCACTAGGTACATTCCCAGGCGCTATTGGTTCTCTGCGTCAATCTGAAGATAAATAATAGAATCATTTTCACAATATGAAATGATTCTGAATCATAAATTAGATTTTACTCAATACGACATATAACTGCGACCATGACATATGCGGCACGAGATCGTGTCTATAACGCACCCATATTTGGCACTTTTCATTATGCCTATTCATGAGCTAGCAAAATTTAGACATAAACCAGTTCTTGTTGCTTCGCTTAAATTTCGTGTTTTTTTTTGGAAATAAAGCTCCTCACGGAAACTACTTCATGATCCGGGATAAAAATTAGTATGATCCGTTGCTTTATTGTAGAAGAACAAATCAATATACCAACAAACACACTTTCACATTTATTATATGAGCAAGGATAACATTTTGTAGTATCTGGTCTTTATACTTTAATTGTTGTAATGGTCAATTAAGTGTCATTATTTTCATCGCTATTGATCCTGATGACTTTTAATTTCATATATTGAAGTGAAGTGGTGTTTGAAAATGTTCCTAACAATCGTATATATAGGATGGTAAGATCCAGGCTTGCAAAGGGGTCCGCAAGTTGGGCGGGTAGAGGGATGAGGGGAAGTCGCGTGCGCAGCTCGTTGTCCGTCCCTGCCTCGGAGCAACGCCCCCGTCAAGGGCGGCGACGCTGCAAAATTCTGCAAGTCCGAGGCGATTCAGTGCATCGCGCCCCGCCGCGGCGGCTCCGCGCACGCCGCTTGCTATAGAGAGTTCGCACGTCGCGCATGCGCTGTGACCGCACGCCGCACACGCACCACCCTATGTTAAATAACTGTTATTTCGGTATTTAATGGAATGTTCCGCATTCTGAGCGATCCACTCTCATGTCGATTTTGTTACATCAATTCCAATGTTAAGTGGTTAGGCTTTGTTCTCCGTAATCCTTTAGTGAAAATGTTTTTACACGTTTTTTGAAGACGATGAAAGTAAATGTACTTATTATGAATGAGCGGATGCCGAAAACTGGTTTCATAAATGGATGTGTAGTGTTATGGATTGGTTCAGATGAGTTTAAACATGGGAACTGATCAGAAATTTTTTACGATGCTGGACACACGGAAGCTGCCCAGACGCTCTATCTCGCTCATCGGTCCGTATATAGAAAGTAATTTTTTTGATGTTTTTTTTTACTGTTTAATTACTTTTGTTTTTCATTAGTTATTTTGGCTTACTAGGCGATGTTAGTAATAATAGGAGAAATTCCGTTATGCAATTTATACTCTGCTATTATCTGTCATAGTCACTTATTACTTCACATATTTTATTAGTTTAGTGCTCAAGTACTTAAGTCTTAAATATAAAAATCTTTCTAAATATACCCTACAAGACGGTATGCCCTCAAATATTTTTTCACCGTCCACTTGATAGAGTACCACAGGATGCTCTTTTCTTGATGTAACTTATAGCATTGTTTAGTAGTTACAATGATACCTTCTGAATTTCAACTATCTGGTTTACAAGTAAGATGGCTCTAATATATGGATAGACAAGCGGACTGATAAAATGATAAACATTCCGGGTTTTCATTTTGGCTACGAAACCTACCGGTTAACTAAGTCCGTTAATGAAGTCGCCCTAGGTAGCCACGAAGGAAAGGGTTTTTAGGTTTTCCAACCTTTAAGGGATGAAGAAAAAGAAAAATTTTGTATGAATATTGTTATAACTAGCGACTTACCCTCGCTTCTCTCGGGTTCGTCCCTAGCTTGATTCCCCATACAAAATGTCATCCCCATTTTCAAGTCCTTAAGGGGTGATTTCTGGAATAAAAAGTATCCTATGTTCTTCTGAGGGTCTCAAACTATCTTCTTACCAAATTTCATCTAAATCGGTTCAGTAGATCTAGAGATTACCTCCTACAACGTCACAAACTCACAAACATTACCTCTTTATAATATTATATAGTATAGATTTACGTATTAATTATTTAATAATGAACAGGTAAAAAAGTCTTCATTTTAAAAGGAAATAGTATTTTGTAGAAAAAAATAAATAATGCACTAAATAAATTATATACATATATCTGAATATTCTTAAAGGACACGAATACGCCAATCAGATTACGCAAAGCAAAATTTCAGTCGACACAGTTGTACAAATAAGTTGAAGCGTGCCATCGTTGTACAAAAATGTTCAATTAAAAGAAACAGAAAGGCTCACGAAACTTAATCAGTAGAAATACGATTATATCTTAGAGTGCTGTTTTTGTGTTAACTTGTATCGTTATGTATAAACAAAAAGTGCTAATAACGGATACAAAATTTTACAGTGTAGTTAGAATTCGACACTCCCGCCATTTGCATCCTATAGAAGAAGAAGGTATTTGGAACAAACCATTGCAAATTTTATGATTTCATGACGACTGTACAGTAAACCTATACTAGCATATGAACGCGATTACTTTGAGAAACATATTTTATATACTTTCTAAGGTTCATCTAATGTTATGTTATCATTTTTCTAGGGTTCGTAGTTTATCTTTCTCTACATCAATTATAACACTGTATGACCAAGTAAAAATGGAAGATAACTCTCATGATGACTGCGTGCTTGACGATGTATGCCCTCTTGGGCTTTGTCTAATCTAACGTCAAATGAACACCTATGTATAATACTATGCATTATAAGTACAGATTAATAATAAGCACATGCGAAAATTAAATCCTTGTCATGTACTTAGTAGACATAGTTACATATAACCTGCATCGTGATTAATAATAATAATTTAATGCAACTGTAAACAAAATATTTGACACGCATACACATAAACACCGATTCTTTTCAATTTTATTACACGTGTAGAAATCATTGGAATAAAGTGCCAACTTGCATCGGCTATTTTGTAAGCTGCGTTGCTTAATTTTAATAGAACAGTAGTGATTCACGATACGATGGTGACCACTTAAGGTCATCTTGTATAAAATGTATTTTTGTTATTATAGACGACGTGCTCGAGGTAAATGTTATATTTTTTATATATTTACTAGCTTGCTCTTCTTTCTAGTAATAATTATAATTTATTATTTATTAGTAACTTTAGCAATGTTCCCCCGTAATCACTTAACGTACCGGTATAGTTAGGCAAAAGTCTATATTATCATTTTACAGCTCACAAATTATTTCTTCGTTAAAATTTTTATTAATACTCGTAAATAAATTTTTGCATATGTTATAATTTTTCTTTTGCTTTATATATATATATATATATATATATATATATATATATATATATATATATATATTTATATTAAGAATAATTAATTCCACCCATATCTTAAGAGGCCACTACCGCGACTCTGACGTGGTATATTTTAGTCAGCAGGATGAACAAGCCTTTAACTTTCCTTCGTGTCGTGTATGCCTGTACACCCAACGTCGGTTGCCGATTAATCTTTTTTTTTTAATATTAATCCCTCCACGAACGCAGACACGCTGGCGTGTTAGTTAACAATAGATTTCTTAGTAATTTAATTAATTTCTTAGAAATTTACTTGGAGGTGTTGTAAAACTTTAGATATTAGTCCTTCTATTGCCCCACTTCTAGGAACAAGCTTCCCCTGAAGTCGAATTTGATTTGGCCATTATAGTAGGGGAGCCCAAGAGGGGATTTTCTGTAGTTACTCGAGCGCGGCAGATTAACATAAAAGAGGTTACCTTGTACTCTATTGAATACTTTCACCACAATATAAGTCTTCTATATAAAGGGGCGCGTCTAGGGAAGCCGATTAAAATATTTAAAAAATGTTTTGATAAGGTAGAAATACTTGAAACCGTCAGATTAAGGTGTGGTAGGCTAGTCACATCCTGAAAAGTGTCCAATTCAATAATCTGCCGATTTGCACAAGCCGAAGAGGCAAAACTCGACTATAAAGTTTATGATGATTTTTGCCTCTTAGGCTTGTGCAAATCGGCAGATTATTAAATTGGACACTTTTCAGGATGTGACTAGCCTACCACACCTTAATCTGACGGTTTCAAGTATTTTTACCTTATCAAAACATTTTTTTAAATATTTTAATCGGCTTCCCTAGACGCGCCCCTTTATATAGAAGACTTATATTGTGGTGAAAGTACTCAATAGAGTGCAAGGTAACCTCTTTTATGTTAATTTGCCGCGCTCGAGTAACTACAGAAAATCCCCTCTTGGGCTCCCCTACTATTATTAGTCCACCACGCTTTCCACATGTGGGTTGGAGGACTTCACAAGTTTAATTCGTCGTAATAGATAAGCGAGATCTGGAGTTTAAGCCTGTTTCATTTTTTTGTTTAAAGCTAATGTATTTCCAATGTGGTACAATATCTACGTAAATCACATTATATTTAAAATATATTACATGGTAGACATAACAGTAATACATAAATGAGTAAGGTTATACGTATTAATTGGTGTTTTCATTATATTTCAGATCGACTGAATAAAAGTGATGCCGAAGATAAAAGTCTTTCAAATGATGATACGCCTATGCCGTCTTGCCCTAGGCAACCCCCTGATGGTGTTGAGACACCATCGGATGCAGTTGAAAAAACTCCAGAGTTGCCTTCTAGATTACCTCCTCGACTGTCAACGGGATGGACTAGTAACCGTTCTCGTTTCTCCTATTCCTCAAGGACTCAAGATGCACGAAGTGAAGCAAGTGTAAAAGATAAAATTGCTATGTTTTCTGTAGATCTTGTAACATCTACAGACCGTTTAGACAAGTGTGGGACTCTTCCATCTAGGTCACATTCGACTGTACGTAAGAACAATAATATATACACAAATAATTATACTGAAGTTTCATCTTTGGACAGAAGATTGACGAAGTCTCAAGATAACTTAGATGAAACACCACGTCCTTTTAAGCGAAACTCGGATAGACCTGAGGTTCTTGGTGCTTTAGAAATTAAGACAACTGAAATACAAAACAAGAGATTCACTCAATCGGAAATAAATAATAAACCTTTATTTTATGGAAGTACTACCACACTACCTTCTGATACATCATTCACACGACAAATATACCATACACGAAGTATTAGTGAAGACAATAGTAACAAAAGTGTATCAACACATAAATCAAATTTAGAATACTTAATAGAGCAGAGAAAAAAATCTATGTCAAAGTTGCGAGGATTAGTGATACCAGAAGTGCAAGCTCCAATTATTGATTTGCCAGAAATTAAAGTGCGAGATTCTATTTCAAAAAATTTCCTTATCCATTCCTTAAATAAAGAGGTTAAGAAAGACAATAAGGTTAGTTGTACCAAATCTTTAAATTTAACAGAAAATAAATGGAAAACTAGTTTTTTACCGAACAATATACCTAAATACTCGCCAGCTTTCAAACGTAAATCTCTGCAAGTCTACACTCCTTCATTATCAAAGGAAACGACTCCAGAACGCAAATTTACCGAGAAAGTAGATACATTATCAAGAATAAGTAGTTTTAACAATGGTTTAACGGGTAACCCCTTAAAGAGTGCACTAGAATTTTCTAAAAGTTCAGTAACGAAATCTAGTCCGTTATTTAATCGAGCCGTTAATAAAAGTTACTTAACTAGCACTTCACAAGATTTTAAAAACGTTGAAATAAAAATATGTACTGCGACAGATATACTAGACAGTGATAACGATTCAGCTATGAGTTCAACTCAATCTAGCTATCGCTCGTCAGCCTCGTCTCCTATGCATAATTTGGACAATAATATTGAATCGGATAGTTCACGTTTGTCTCCCAGAATAGCACAGTATAATTCTTATACTCTAATGAAAACTGAGGTGCCAAATAAATCTTTTCTAACAGAGAAAAATAGTCAACAATACATCAAAAGAAATGTTTGTCGATCTGTGTCCTCAGATACAAACATTTCTCTTAGCTCTTCTGCAGGATCAGCAGCCACTTCTGGATCACAAGCTAGTTGTAGTTCCCTTGAGAGTTCTGTGGCTGACTCAGACAAGAGAAAAGTTTCAAAGATCTATAACGTTGACACTATAAACAGGCGAAATATTGTCGCTTCAGCAAAATGTAGAAGTGGAAGAGATGTTAAACTTGAGTCGCCGGTTATTGAAACTAAGTTCTCCCATGAGTCTTATAACAGATCTCCCAGTCCAATACATAAAACGTCTGATCGCCTTTCTACGCTCACACCAGCAGTGAGTGCAATAGCGGGTAAAGGTGAAAATAGACGACGTAATAAGATAATTGTTGATACTGATTCTGATTCGGACAATGAAGTAAATATTCGACAACGTAAATCAGATTTCAAAAATACTAGATTAAAACGTAATTCTAGTACATCGAATAAAAATAAGAGCAACGAAAATAACCAAGAATCGGAAAAAACTGACGATCCATTTAAACATAACAAAAACGAAGCAATGAAAGACTTGAGCTTGACGTGTTCAATAAATCGAGATAGTGACAAAATTGTACCTTTAAAGACAAAGAACACAATAAGTGTACATAAGATTGACAGCGAAAAAGTGAAAGAACAATGTAATGGTACAGCATCTGTAGATAATAAAAAAGAATTAATTAAGGCAATAAACAGTACTTCATCTTCAACTTTGAACTCGCGTCCTGCTAGAGACATGAAAACTTCCAATATGGCCTTAACAACTAAAACAGAAACTGAGCAAGCAGCAAAAACTTCAACAGAAACTTATCGGCTAAAGAAAGGGACTGGTTCAGGCGTGGGCCTTATACTAGCTGGTGGAATCGATTGTGAAGCTAAAGATGTCACTGTGAGTATTTCTGTGTGTCAAAATTTTTTTTTCATATAATATTATTCAAATATTTATTTACGGGTTTCTTTTATGTTTCAGGTTCATAGAGTTTTGGAAGACGGTATCGCCGCAAAAGCAGGAATAAAGAGGGGCTCTAAAGTTCGTAGTATAAACGGCTATAAAATGTCAGGATTGACACATGCTCAATCTGTTGGCGTTCTTAAGGTATATTTTCATAGATATAGGGCACGATGTCATTCTACAATTGTTGAAGAATAAAAACAAAAAAATATATGAGAACCACAGTTCTATTCCATAACGAGAAAATTTGTTTTCTACTGTAATCGTAAATTTTTTTTTTCAATATTTGTGGAGTGACATATTGCCTAAGCCCCGTATAGTGTACTTTAGTACATATATATTTTTTCTCATTTTAATATGGTATTTCATTTTAATATTTGTATTATATTTTAACTTATTAAAAACTCTATTATATAAAATATTTATGTTTTAGGAACAACGTTCAGAGGTTGTAATCGAAATAGAGAATGAAAATAAGGTAAACAGAAATATGACTGAATGCGGCTCTGAAAAAGGTATTTCTTTAAAACAATTAAGTTCTAATTTCTTTTAATGTAGTCATAATATATTTTTCATGTATCCTTTATTTTAGCGGAGTCGGAAGGACATCAGGCAAAACAAGTAAATAGTTCAAAAGCAGATATTAGACTTGATCGTTCGGTTGTGACAGTTGTATTAGAGAAAGCAGGCGGAGGAGCAGGCCTAGGCTTTGGCTTAGACGGAGGACGAGATTCTCCTCAGGGTGATCGGCCATTGACAATTAAGAAACTATTTGCAGGTAATTTTTGCCTTATTTGGTGACACGTTCATTCAGATAATAACTATGACTTTAGTAATATAGACTTGATCTATATTTTTTGTATTTTGTATATTTAATATTTAACGTGCGTTATATTATTACAGGAGGTGCAGCTGCTCAGAGCGGCCGCATTGTTGTCGGCGCAGAACTTCTCTCCGCTGGGGGACAATCTATGGAAGGTTTCACGAGAACTCAAGCTTGGGCTGCTTTGAAAGCCCTGCCAGCTGGTCAGGTTGCTTTGGTTCTTAAAAATCCATAAAATAAAAATAAAAATTTTTCCATAATAACAATTTGAGAGTACAAGTAAATTAATTTCAGAAAGTATTTTACTCTATACTGTAAACATTTTAAATGTGTACTCTTTTAATTTATTTAACAAACAAAATTTAGAGGACTGAAACTATTTACACTTGATGGTCTATATCCATTATTCGTTAGGTAAGCAGCAGAAGTACACGTAGTGTATATAGTATTAGGATAATGATTTCAGGTATAAAACCTATGTGCCTTGTCTTGGACATAAACGCTGTAAAGACTGCACTCCGATATCATAAAAATATATTATTTATTAATTAAAAAAATATACTAGTCTCTGACAAAATATTATTCATAATTATAGGCACTGTACTTACCTATATTGGTATCAAGTTTATTACATATTTTTGAAATAGTGCCATCTTAAGAGAACAAAATATTTTTTCAATTTATCATGAGAAATTTTCAGATTTCACAGCGTTTACGAAATATTGTTTGGTTTCCGAAAGGACTCGCTGTTTCCTTTACTTTTAAATCAGCTTAACTATATATAGGAAATGACTTATATTAGTTAAAAAATAATTCATAACAAAATATCTTTAAACTTACATACATACATACATATGTACCCCAGTTACTTGCCATGCCATTTATGTTATGACTTATCTTACTACATACTAATTTCTTATATTATTATTTATAGCCTTAAGTCGTTTGTATATAGTTTTTATTTGTTTTTAACATATATTATATTGTCCTGATGTTATGTCATATATGGCAATGAAGGATTGTATAGTACTCGTATTGTAATTGTGCCTATCTGGAAATAGGTTTATAAAACGTTAGCGAATGGAGTTTTGTTATTCGTGCATAAGTACTAACTGCTGTTTTGGTAGAAATATTGACTAGCCGTTACTGATAATATGAGTACTATGCTATACTATGTTGATAGAAACTATTTATGTAAACATATATAGTTTTAACATTAAGAAATATAATCTTTACATTTCCTTTGGATGATGTTTTATTGAAATAACTAAATATTCATTTTAATATATGCCGATTTCACCAATTCTAATTTGTCATAGTATTTATTATAACGATTAAAGTAGAACTTGGTCATAGTATCAATTCAGATCTGTATAATCTTCAAATTCGAGAAATTGTCGGATGACTGATAATTATTTATCAGGATCAAAAAAGTTGAAAGTATTTTTTCTATAAATTGTTGATTTCGGATACATAATATGTATATCAAACATTCGCAAGATAATCACAATAATACATCTTTGTTTGATTGATATTATTATATTGCACACTGAGCACTGAGTTTCTCTAAATCAGTGGAACTAGAAAGAAATGCCTATAGAGTGTTTTGTTTATTTAATTTATACTTTTTATATAAAAATATGCTAAAAATCAATACGTCACTCATTACGTTCAATTTTTCTAGTTTCTAAAATTGTAAGAGTACGGTACAGTAGAGTACAGTATTGTAAGGGTACTCAATAGGTTGTATGAGTTTTTCATCTACATATACATATATTATAATAAAAGTGTAACTGATCGCTGTCTGTACATTAAAATTATTTGAGAAAAACTATCATTGGAGGTCTTTATTAATGCAACAGAACCCAAAACAATGATTTTTAGAATTTTTGTCTATTTGTCTATGTGTTTGTACGCGCTAATATCAGAAACGGCTTAACCGATTTGATTTTCACTAAAGTATTGTGGTAGGCTTTACTTAACATTTAGTATTTGTTTTATTTCAATCGGTACATCAATAAAAAAAGATTTCATTTTAAAGAATCACCGAGGGACGAACCCTAGCGAAGGGAGGGTGAGTCGCTAATAAATAATATGTTACCTGGTGTCTTCGAATAATAATCTGATTTTCATCATTCTTTTTTAAGGAATACGTGTAGTGGAGCGCCGTAAGATTTATACCTCGGAATGCAGGGAAGGTCAATGAATCTTTATAAAAACTTTTAATATGTGTTTTTAACAGTAAATAGAAAAATGTTAAAAAAAATATTTTGCGCGATCTCAACTTTTTAATTATTTAAATAAATAATTAATTTATCAATTTTTGGGAGCTTTTTTTTTGTTTTTATTAGTTTAAAATTATATTTTGAAAAGAGAAGTATTACAAACTCGTCCTTGGGCCCTAGCTAGGTTGAATACGTAGCTATTTTTATTTTTATTTTTAGGGAATGCCGAAAATAAGAGCAGGCTCATAGATATGTTACGAGAAATACTAGTGGAAAATAAGATATTTTCTTGTCAAGCAGAAGCTGATGTCGACAGATTAATAATTGAAACTGCTATTAACCTGCAGTCCGAAAACATTGTTGTAGTGTCCGAGGATGTAGATGTTTTAGTTTTATTGACTGCGCTCTCACTAACACACCGAGAAATTTATTTTCGAGAGCCATCCAAAGGCAAAATACTGCAAAAAGTGTACTCTTCTAAGAACTTAGAAAGAGTATTACCAGTGTGTAAACAGCATATTCTGTTCTGACATGTTTCACCGGTTGTGACGCGACGTTAGCTTTTTTCCAACATGGCAAAAATGTATTTGCAAAAATTTCGAGAAACAAAATACTGCGACAGTTTTTAAAAATGAATGCAAAGATACTAATGCATTTTTAACGCTGGTGTTACATGCATTCTTGCTTTATACGCTGCCACCTAAAAAATAAAAGATCTAAATATATTAAGATATAATGTTTTTGGAAAGCTACTGCTAAAAATACCAGCATTAAACTGTCGTCTTTACCACCTACTGCAGATGTCGCTTTTGGACACTTCAAAAGAGTATACCTGCAAATTCAAACATAGCTCGGAAAATAAATGTCACCAGAAGAATGGGGTTGTAAATATGAATGTGGAATGCTGATACCGCAAATAATGACGCAGCTACCAGCTCCAGAATCCTTACTGAAAATGATTTCTAGCACATGTAAATCAGGATGCGGTGCATCTTTTAGGTGCAGAAAAAGTAGATTCAATTGCACTGTAGGTTGCTTAGAATGCAATGGTAATGGCTGCAATAATCCTTCACCTACCACCACCTACCCCACATCAATGAGATCGACGATGACGACAATAATGATCGATAATGTATTCATATACATATATCCATACTTCCTTACTTATGTAATATTATATATTTGAAAGTTTGTCCTTCTTTCACGTAGAAATGGTGTGACGGATTGGCGTGATTATTTATGTGGAGATAGTTGGATGGCTGGAAAGTGACATAGGCTACTTTTTACCGCGGGAGATTATCTAATTCCCACGGGAAAACACATTATAATACAATCCAAAAAAATATTTATGATCAGAATTACTTGAAACTTGGTATTGATGCTCTTCAAAAAAAAAAAACGTCTTTTAGCATTTTTCGTTAGCGCGAGTGAAGTCGCGGGTTCTGCTAGTCTTATATAAACATGAGTAGTATACATTTTTATTAACTTGATTATTTTTTGCGAAATATTAATAAATTTTCATTAAAGTAACTATGCAAATATATTTTTTTAGGCGTAAAATTGAAACTTTAAAATTTAAAGTAAATTTAATCATTTTTTGCCATCGTCCCTCTCATTTTTCAGTAAATTGTTGTAATCAAGTTCGCACAATTTTTTATTTTTAACTTTTTTATTTGAGCTTTTAACAATACAATAGATCAGTTTTTATGAAGATTTATTGACTTCTCCTGCATTCTGAGATTTTACAATTTTTATGCCTTACGGCCCTCCACTAGTGGTTTTATATATATTAAAAACAGATATCCGCGCAAAAAGTGACATAATTAATTAATTGTAAGTAATTATGAAGTCGGTGTACTTTTACATACCCGATTTAGTTAAAGAAGATCCCGATTTAGAATGAAATGGATACTATTCAATTAAAACTTGTGTACTTATTTAAATGAAACAAGAAAAAAAATGTTCAATTACACTTATTTTATTCACCTTAATGTTTTAAGTTTTTACAAACATGCAAAAATAGTTTGCTAGGTATCATTTTAATTTTTTAAGTATCAATTTTAAATATTGTTATGTAATATTTTTAGTGTATATTTAAAATTGTACAATATTGTTAGCCATGGACGTTCGCTTAAAAAACAACAGGTAAGCAACACTGAAAAGAGCTGACGTGAGCGTGCGAGTTTCGACCAAACAAAATAATTATAAACCTGATATAAATATATGCACCATAATTTCATTGATTATTTTAACAATTATGTTTCTATTAATTATGAACATGTATAGGCACTTTATTATTATTTTGTCTTATTATAATATTATATTCCTTATGTATATTGTCAAGAGTACATAGTAACTATTCCATTACGTTCTATGTGTACATATCTAGCTAGTTTATTTCGGTAAGTATATATTAGATTTTTTCTACCTTGCAAATATCTACACTATTTAATGTTATTATAAAAAAACCCTTATATTAAAAATAACAAGTTATTTTAAATTTAAGTCCTGCATACTGTTACGTATGTAGTGTATATAAGTCCTTATATTTAGGAAATAAATAAGGTCTAACTAGTGCCATAACAAATTTATCTTCCACATTCAATTTCAGTATCACAGACTAAACTTTTGTCTCGTTTTATTTAAAATACAAAATTAATTATTTTATTTATGCTATGTATAAGTTGACAAAAAAGTTTCTTTTGCTACTTGAATATGTTATTAACAAAAGAAGTAATCAATACGCTGTTCTAAGATGTAGAAATTTTATTATTTCCATTTTTAGTAATGAAAAAGTCAGAATTACTTTTCTTCCAAATTTATTTATATCGAGCTGGTAATATACAGCGATAGGATATTATAAAATAATGTTTATTATTAGATTGATAAAGTTTTCATTTTTAACACACATACGCATTATACGCATATACGTATTATTACAATAATATTAAAAAGCAAGTTTTGTTATTTAAACAAATGCAAATAAATATAAAAATTTTGCAACAAAAATATTGTTATCACATTTGGCATACATTTTCATGAAATTTTCAGATCTTTCTTTGGATTTACATACTCACAATACCATATTATATTATATAAAAAATATATTTATCAAATTAATATACATTATAAAATCTAGAATATTTTATGTTAATATACATAGTCTATTGGACATGTTTCAATTGTAATATATAATAATATTTACAAAGTAGAGTAAGTAATGTAAGTTGGCGCCTGAAGCGGGTCTCCGCAACAGGCGCATGGCAGTCAGCGCGCCGGCGCTCGCCTCGTTACCCGAAGCAGTACTGGTCCTGCTCGGACGTCTTTAAAAAGCCTGATTGCTTCACTATGTGTCAAACCAGCCGTGCCTCTGCCGTTAACTGACATTATTTCGTCCCCTGGAAGGTTTAATAAAGATCATAAGTGTTGTGAGTGAAAGAGCGTATCGATCAATTTGGGTAAAATCAGAAGCTGAATGGGGTTAGCTTTCATCGCCGTAGTGCTTATTTGTTCAAATGACCAATACTTGTAGTACTTACAGTAGAGTTTTTCCTCTAATTTATAAAAAAAGTTTTGTTTTTAGGATTTATATACCTCTATACTAATTATATAAAATTCTTTGTATGTATTTTTCAATGAATTTAACTAAAAATATATGCAATAGATTTCAATGAAACTTTTTTTAAATATTTCTTACGAATGCAGAAGTGCTACAAGTTATTTTATATTTAATTTTTTAAATAAAATTTGTAAGTGGGAGCAGCAGAGCTATGTCAGTAATGTTGGCGGTCGTGCGAGGGGGCATTATTTTACATTATTTTTAACTAAATTTTAACTAACATTAGAAGCCGTATAGTACCTATGTATATAAAAATTGATGTGTGTTCCCTATGGACTCCAAAACAGCTGGAACGATTTTGATGAAATTTCCAGGCAATCTTCAGATTAGACCAGCAGGTGATCTTGTAAAGTTTGCTAGTGATCAGAACGCGAGCGAAGCCGCGGGTACTACTAGTATATAGATAAAATACATTTTTTACTGTATTGGTGTTGATATTTATGAAAGAGAATAGGTAAAAATATGAAAGAGTCAATATCACATTCCGATAACACTACAAATTTGTATAAAATTAAAGACCACATGTTAGAGCTACAGAGCTTGGCATGTCTTAATAATATATATCAGGAATTCCTACTTAGATATATGTAAAAAAAATCCTATATCGAAATGGAATAATTAATTTATTTACTCCTGCACTTGATACCTAAGATTTAATAACGATTTTTAAAAAATATTTTTGTCTAATATATTATAAATAATCTATACATAATATAATAAAATTGTAACTAAGCCCAATCTGCACATTAAATATTTTTTGGAAAATCTTATTGAAATAGACTTTATTACCGATACAGAGGCCGAATCTATAGATTTTAGAATTTTTGTCTTTTTTCTGTCTGTCTGTCTGTTATCGCATCACGGAAAATCCACTGGAGGGATTTTGATGAAATTTGGTATGATGGTTGCTGGTTATCCGGGTCAACATATATAATACTTTTTACCGCGGGAAAATATCTGATTTCTGAGAAAAAATAAAGAAAACTGCATTGTAAGAGTATACTAATATGTGAAACTTTTGGTCATCAGAACGCGGGCGGAGCCGCAGGCAATGCTAGTAATGGTATAAAGTGCCGTTTTCAAAACAAATAGCTTTTGACAAATTGGGAATATATATGTAGTTCAAGTACCTGTTTGTTACACGTTAATGAAATAATACATTACATAACTTATGTGCATTTTTTTTCATTATGCAACAAGAATTCATTTTAGTTGTTAACCTTTTCAGCTTGCAGGTGTAAGGTAGTACGTTAAATGACATCAAACTCACAGCTGGTAGTAAGCCGTTGGCGTAAACGATAGCCATTTATGTAGCAAGCATCAGTTAAAAGTTAACGTGCTTATTTATCGACCTCCTTAAAATTTAAATAATAAATAAATAAATAAATATGTTGGGACATTAACACACAGCACCATCTAGTTCTATGGTAAGCTACGAGGCTTGTGCTATGGATACCAGATAGTTGATACACTACATATATATAATTTTAAATACATACATATTATAAATATAAACACCCATGAGTGGAGTACAAACATTCGTGCTCATCACACAAATGAATGCCCCCAGCGGGATTCGAACGCGCAACCGCTGGCATAGCAAGTAGGGTTACTACACACTGAGCCAAACGTGTCGTCAAGTTTTTTATTAAGTAAATAAATATAATTTGTCAGACATACTAATAATTACGGCAAATGGAATATAATATGTCGTAAGATTTGATTTTAACGTATTATGAGCTAACGTTGTGTGGGATTGATTGTTATAAAAATATGTACTTTATTGTAACAATTCGCAATTTCCATTCATATTAACATGTTACATCCCAATAAGTGTTACAGAAAAAAATCAAATGAATTCACTGAATATAGTATTTTTAAATAGCTTACCTTCTCGAAGTAAGCCAGACTCAGCCGCTTGACCGTTATTAAATATAGTTTTGACGAATATGCCCATGTCGCCTCGCGGCGAGTCGCGACCACCCACAATACTAAATCCAAGTCCTTTGCCGCCCGCTGACTTCGTAAAACGTACCTGAAAATTATATATGATAACACTTTAGCAAATGTTTTGTTTATAAAGATGCTTTCTACAAAGTTTACATTCAATAATCTAAAAGCCAAATAACAAAAATTGAATTGAATTACATTCAATTATAAAAAAATGTTCATGTTAAAGAAGAATAATTACTATCAAAGGCGGAACATCAACTACCTGTACATGTGGATTGAATAATTTAGAAATTTTTTAAAATATAATTTCGTTTTAAACTAGTGCCCAAACTGATCGATCGTTAGACAAAAAATTAATATGTATGAGTCATTTATAACATTATATACATATTATATACATATTATATACACCTTAATAAGTACCACATTTAATTAGCAGTAGCTATCACCTGTTGCACTCAGACTAATTAATATCAAACTATCCAACAGTATAGAAGCGTTATCTATCGTACCTTGATGAAAAGTATCGTAAGCTGTCAGAAACTTTCGTGAAAGTTGTTTTGGCACTAATAACTGTACAAAGCTCAAGGGAATTCACTTATCTTGTTAATGGCCTTTAAGCTGTAGATATATTTAACTTTTTTACATAAATATTATGTAAAAAAATCATATTAAAATTCATAATTTTCTGTTCAACATAACACTTCTTATTATAACAAAATTCTAGCATAGTAATTAATAACTAAGTCACGCATTAATGTGAATTTCCGCTTATTCCATATTCTAGTTTTAATTTACATGAATGAAACAAAGCAAATATTGACTTAGCCTACATTGTTACCTCAAAGGAGTGCGTATCACGCGGTTCAGGCGCAGGGGGCTTTTTCACAGACTTCTGAGTTGAAGAAGGTGGTGCTGGAGGCGGTCGAGCAGACCGAGGAGTTGAGCTCACTCGTAGTTCAGCTACACAGTTACGCAATTGTTGCATTGGCTCTTGGCGAACTTGTACCCGAGGTAATCTATAAGGTTCTTCCCATAACTTATCTGCAGTATCTGATGTTAACCGGTTATAACCATTTCTATATATATTTTCGACTTCAACATTTTCACTGTATGGTCTACTTCGGAGCTCTTTACCAATGTTTTTACGTTCTAACCCATAACTATAATCAACGACATCTCGACTTTCATCTTCTTGATTTATAAGTGGTGCTCGATCCCGTGGTGATTCTCTTGCTCTGTACACATTCGGTGAGCTGCATCGTCGACGAACAGTAGCGCTATGTCGTGAGGACATTGGTGATGTGGGTGTTCGTCCATTGCTTGGACTAGGGACGTAAAAAGTTGAGGGTTGTTGTTGTGGCGGAGCAAGCACATCATGTGCAGATAACGCTCTTCTTCTTAATCCACCTCCTAATTTCCCAAGTGCACGAAGTATATCTGGAGCGCCACTCGTTACTCGTAAAGATGCCGTTGTGTATACTTTACCGCGATGTCTGAATGAGAGCTTCGAAGGTGGCGCAGGGGAGCAGTGCGATGGAGGCCGCGGAGGCGATGGAGAACAGCGTACAGGGCTCGGATCGCGGTTACCGGATCCGGGCCGGAGTCGTGAACACCTACGTCGTAACTTTCTCCATCTCTGCGATAAATTTGCATTCCAGCTTTCCTCTGAAATAATAAACAAATAGCATTAATTAACATAATAAAATTTGCGTTGTAAGAACAAGTTAACATGTGACAATCATTAAAATTGACATTCAATTGATTTACGGTCAAGTGGAACCTAAAACATTGTTTCATAACAATTGTAGAGTTGGTTTGAACTAAATAATCAATATCAATTTTATGATTTCAGTAATAACTTCCCTACCTGTTTCAAAATATATACATGTACATACTAAAATAGAATATTTATATATATATATATATATATATATATATATATATATAAATTATTAAATAACTAACATTAATATTAAAAATGATTTGAATAACATTAATACTAAAAATGATGAAATCTTTAAAGGCTATAAAACTTTTCGAGACTCTTCAAAGGCAAATTTAACTTACACTTGATCAAATATATACCTTTTTTATTAGTGTCAGCATCTGAGGCGTAATCATGAGTGCGGGGCGGAGGCGCGGGCGGCGTGGCAGGTGCAGCGAAACTGTGTCGAAGAGGTGTCATCCGCAGTAAGCGCGGTCGATCGCCACCGCGAGACCCCCACGCTGGAGCTCCCATTTTAAATTACTGAAAATTAATAATGTATATTGTTATAACTTAGTTTTAGAATTCATATTTTACCATCACTACTATTAATCTTGTATTTTATTAATACGATTTGAAATTTTCTATAAACTTTAAATATTGGCAAATAATACGTACATTCGTAAACTCCTATAATTTACCTTTTTTTCTATTTTTCTTTACACGTTTATTTTCGAATTGCTTAGTCTAAAATAAATGTTTAAAAAATATATACAAATAAATGTTATCAATACAAACCAAATGAAATAACCATTGAAGCGTTAAAGAGGTTAAGCAACATGCTTATCTCTTAATGTTCCTTGCGTTGATAACAAAATTTAAAAGAATTTTTTGCGTTACTTTAACTTGCTTAACATAAAACTAATAAGCTACTTTTTCTAGATACGCTATGTTCCTCGCATATAAACATGTGATAATGAATGGATTAGCATTATTTATAATTTTCATTATAATTTTAAATGTCTTATTTTAATATATTTTAAATATTTTTTTTCAAACGTTTCTGCGCTATTCATTGATAAGTTCAAAATTAACAATTTTTAAACCATTATTTATTCCAGAAAGTTCGTGAAAAGTTTAATTCAAATGTATTCATTGTTTTATATTTGATTAAGTTACAAATACTCAGACATCTTCACATATTTATCATCAATAGTACAAATAATATAGATTTAATTTTATAAAATCATATATTAAAATAATATAAATGTCAGTATTATGAATGCGTTTCACCTAATATAGTTCAAATGAGTAGGTGGATTTCATAAATATCGATGTTGATTCTTTGTAACACGGCCAAGTGGCCAAACCGAGACAGACCACTAACACACACCGTGCGTAGGCTTCGGTCAAACAAATACCAAGCCGACATCCGGTAATCTAACTTACCTATGTGTGTACCTATCTATTAGTAACATTGATAGCTACGTTAGTAAAGTTGAAAGTAGAAAAAATCTTTTAAAAGTATTTATATAATATTCTCTAATATCAAATAGTTTTATTTTAAATTATAATAAATTATGTACATAAACGATATTTTTTTATTAGACAACCCTTGTCTTCTATGATGAATAGGTTAGTTTCATGCAAAATTTATGACATTTATTATTATTTATTACTATAACACTTTTATTACATTTTTGTATATTAAATGTACATGAACATAATCATTTTCTTTGTCGCTAAAATTGCACGTTAAGCACGCTATGTTCCTAGAATATGGTAAATAGAACAGGGTGTCAAGCGCTACGACCTCTACGTGCCTAAGTGAAGAGATACCCTGAATGGTTTCAAATTTAAACAATAGCGTGATTTAATAAATGCTTATTATTTAAAAAAACTACGGTTACCTCTTGCGTTATTATTTTAACATTATTTTAAAAGTACTTTTTGTAGAATAGTTTGTTGAATTTTTTATAAAATTATTTGTTCATTAAAAATAACCATGAAAATCAGATATCGGGGGTCGACATACATAAAAAGAAAATACTTTTTTTATGAAGTCAGTCAAGTGAAGAAAACGAGGTTGGGGCATTAAGAAAAATAAAAGAGCATTAACGAAGACAAATGCTAAATATGTTAAGCATCGTTTTAATTGTTTAGTAAAAATATGTATATTTTTATATGAAATAGTGATGAGCTAGCTAAGCTACGTTTCGACTTTGTTTATAAGCTTATTTGATAAGCCATACAAAATATTATGGCTTCAACCATTACCTTCTGAAGTATATTAAACAAAAAGCAATTTGGACGAAGTTATCTTTTTAAAGATATTATTCCAAAAATAAAATAATCATTAGTACTATTTAAGCAGGCGGTGTGCGCTGAATGCGCCGCACCGTTGCGCTACGGATATCCGGTCGAGAAACGGCTGCGTATTCCCCATGCCGAGCGGCCGGGCATGCTCATTATCCTATACGTAGACACATACCTATAATACATCTGCCCATGAAAATTAAAAAATCTTTGTGGTCTTCGAGTGGTAGATATCGCGTGCTCAGAATAAATAACGTCCGGAATGCTTGAAATGAACGCTTTATTACTTTTCAAGTCTAGCCGGTGCTATAAGATCACTTTAATGAAGAAAGTGAGATTTTATATTTACAGTTATTTCTTTTGATATATTTTGATTAAAATTCAAATTTAGGATTCTATTACAGTTATAACTTATGTACTATTTAGGTTTTATAGGTAATTGTAATTATTAAAATATTTTTGAACAACAATTATATTATAAACTAGGAAAATATTTATTACGATAACAAATAATCTATACCGACTTATATCTCAGATGATATAGGTACATATTATATTTTCATATGCATATTATAAACGCCAAAGTTTTGGTTTTATATAATTTTCTTATAAGCAACTATGGAACAACGGGTTGATTATACCTGCTACTTTATCTCGATTTATCAAGTGATTCCCGTAGAATTTGTATTTTATATTGCAAAAGGTCATTTAAGGCAAATTATAAGTTGTAAATAAAAAGAACGTATAGTGAATATATGCATAAAAATTAAGAAACAGGAGCAAGGCAGAACAACAAGTGCCTAAATCAAACAGGAAAATCTAAAAAAGCTAGATGATTTTAATTTTTCATACATTTTTATATGCACATTTTATTTATTATACGATTACACGAAAAAAAACATATACTTCATAATTTTTTTTTTTAAATATGTAGCCGTGTAAAATCTTAATAGATTAAAAGCTCGAAGGGTATTAATGAATTCTTTATTGAGTTACCTATTTTAAAGCTTTGGTCGCCAACTTCATATTTTTACTATCTACTTGTTGTTAATTTGTGATAAAATATAATATGCAAATATAAAAATATATTTATTCAACATTTATTTACATATAAATATAATATAGACTACTAAATGTTTGCTAAATATATTATACTGCCATTATTAACTATTTCAACGACCTATTAAACTAGTTAAAAGCAATTAGTATTTCCATTTACAATGTCATATCTATGTAAAAGATAATATAAATTATTTGTTTGTGTTTAATTAAAATGACAGTGAAAATGCATAAGCGGGATGAGACTCACAAAGTTATATTGCGAGCGATCTGCAAAATGAGTAAGGATCTGTAGGGAGCAATAAATACGAGAATGTAATTAAATTTCGGCTTTCCACATGAGGGGCGATCTGTACCTGATAGATCGCCCTGCGGTGCCATGACAAAAGGTGGGAGATTTATTGCGAATTCGGCCAACATGATATCTTGTATCTATATGTATCATCATCATGTTCTATGTACCTATACGTATTACTAGTTGTGTTAGCCATGGCTTGACAATAATTGTTTTACTTTTAATCAAATTAATAGAAATATAATACTTTCTTAGGTTTACGCAAACATCTATAAATATAATAAAATTGTAACTAAGACGAATCTGTACATTAAATATTTTTTTGAAAATCTTTTTGAAATAGACATTATTATCGATACAGAGGCCGAATCTATAGTTTTTAGAATTTTTGTCTGTCTGTCTGTCTTTTTGTCTGTCTGTCTGTTCCCGCATCACGGAAAAACTACTGGAGGGATTTTGATGAAATTTGGCATGGTGATAGCTGGTTATCCGGGTCAACATATAAGATACTTTTTAGCGTGGGAAAATATCTCATTTCTGAGAAAAAATACAAAAACTGCACTGTAAGAGTATACTAATATGTAAAACCTAAGAATTTGATTTTTGGTCGTCTGAACGCCGGCGGAGTCGCGGGCAATGCTATTTTAAATAAAACTATCTTTACTGGTTTTTTGACGGATTAATTTAAAATTACATACTAGATTTAAATTGAAACTATACGCTTTTTTTACTCAATATAATCAAAGTAAACTTTGTCTTTTTTATATGTTACTAGCAGAACCAGCCCTCCGACTATCTCCACACAAAAAATCACGCCAATCCATCACTCCGTTTCGATGTGAAAGAAGGACAAACAAACAAACACTTTTACATTTATAATATTAGTATGGATTAGGATTTATTTTATGGACTTTAGTTGATGTAAAATATAAATTGTAGTTTATAAAATATATATATTGTTTTTAAAGTCAGACTAAAATGACAGTTGTTAATTCGCGCCGGTACCGTTGTGAGCCGAATTCGGACGACGTGGTCACTGATCTTCCGGTCAATTCTATGCAAGACTAGCATTTCCCGCTAACTCATAGGAAGCAATTAACACAAAAAACAGACAATAAACAATATCTTTAAGAGATTTACAGTATTAAATATACATTTATGTTTTATAGATATATGTGTGAAAGTTATAATCATATTTATCTTTTATACGGTTCTTCTAGTTTTAATTGGTGGTTTGTATTCTCCTAAGAAATAGTAAAATAGAATAGATACAAGGCAATGATTACTTACATATAAAACCTATAAAGCTTTAAAACTTAACCGCGTAAATTTTACTTCTTCCTCGTGGTTACGTTAATATTTGTTTGAGCATTGTAGGAAACTTTTGTAGTCATGAATTGCAAAAATTACTATGATAAATATTATACAATAAGAAGTAAGTATATATTATATCAATATTATGTTGTATATTTTTGTATTATGTTAGTTAAATACTGTTTTAAAAGAGCAACTATGTTCTTAAATCTTCACGCTTTTAAAACTACTAAAAATTAAAAATAGGTTTCATATGCATAAAATATTTTTTTATTCGAATAACTAGGGTTCAAAATAAAAATATAGAAAAATAAGATTAAAAAAAGATATATGTATGTTATCAATATTACTTAAAAGTAATAGAATTGAACTTGAAGAAATATACTTATTAAACTGTTATAATATAAATGATAAATTTTGTGTGTGTGTATGTTTGTTATGCGTTGACTAACATATAGGCCACTGGTACTCAGGGATCGAGTGAAGTCAGGTTTAGTCACTGATAATACAAATGAAGAAAATACGATATATTTGTACTAACCACCTAGGG